CTCCTTCCTGAAGCAGCTGTGCTAGTGCCGCAGCTGTGCTAGTGCCACAGCTGTATCACGGCAGGCTCTGAGCCTCCAACACACCGCCTCCCTTCCGTAGCTAATTGCCTGCCATTTACAAAGCGTCAACAAACTTCTAAGTTTAATGGCTTTATGCCCCATGGATTTTGCTCTGTATTGCACAAAATGCTGCGTTTTAGCTCAGCCACATGCTATGGTAGGGAGCCACAGCGCATTGCAACGTTTCTGAAATGCATGTTTGAAGGTGCTCTGTTGCCAGCCACCATCCTTTCGGCACCACTCGCCCCTGCAAAAAACACGGCCCCTGGGAAAACCTCCTGACTCCATCATGGCCCTTCAAAAGACGCTCCATCAGCCAGGCCCTCCCTCTCTCTGCCTACACACCAGTGCCAAAGCCAGCTTGGTCAGTACCTCCCGACTGGCTGTCTCCACCCGTGACGTCACTCTGTAGGAAAAACTTGTACTTGATTAAAACTACTTTAGTTCCACTTCTATGTAGAATAAAATGAGGCCAACAGCTTCAGCTTACACAATTAACAGTCGCCTGGTTCATACACTTCATAAACCACGGTCTCATTCACTAATCCCAAACTAACAAAACATGACATTATCTTGTCAGGAGCAATGGATCTTTGGAAATTACACTATGCTTGTAAAGTGCCCTTTTAAGTATTGAGCAACACTTTTGCTTAGAAAGTGCTTTTGAAGGCGAGAAGAAAAAGAGCAAAGAGTTCCTGAAACATTTAAAGTTTGGCTTTCCAGAGGGTTTCTCCTTTGTTTGCTTGTTTTGTTGCCTAGAAACTGATCTAAATAAGAGACTCCACGTAGACAGTGTTCTCTGGTAGAGGCTCTCTCATGGAGAAGGGCTGTTTAATTGATAGGAGCAAAACCAAGCATGCACGAAGAGCCAATGCCCAACAGTCACTCTGTCAAGGCAGCAAGTCAGCTGGGTAGGACAGAGACCTTCTGTTTCAGCTTTAGTGGAAGCAAACTGTTGTTCATTTTGCCAGCTATTTTGAATATTGTGGATAAATACTTTTATTTATACTTTAACCTTAATCTGCCTGGTGATTTTAACCATCTTGGTAGCAAGACACCCATAGCATCTATAGGTGTGGTGAACTTACAGACCTAGGTAGTGAGACCTATCGACACACAGCCTATGTCCCCTTTCCCACCACGTTCTGTGGAGTAGCCAAATTTCAGCTATATGGGCTAGGTGGAATGGAGACAGGAACAGCACCAGTAACTGGTGATAGCCAGAAAGATAAGGCACCAGCAAGATATTTGGGTGCCACTTTAGACCCCAAAGGTCCTTAAAGAAGACATCAACAGACAGACCTCATCTATATAAACTGTGATTATTCAGCAGCAAGTGATGAAGTCACACAGTATAAATCCAGCCCCTGGCCTGCAGCTCACTGGATATTCATATAGCATTGACTGCCCAGAACACTTTTGCTTGAGAGTATGCTAATCCTTTTTATTTTGCTTTTAGAGGACCGGAGTCAAATATCACTGTTAACAGTTACTGCACAGAATAGCTAAAAGCTTTTCCATCTTTTTATTACAGAAAAATTTTGTTCCTGGCAGTTCAGTATTGTACATTTGGTACAGAATGAATACTTCAAACCCACAAGATTTTCTTACTCATAATTGGATGAAAATAGTGCAGCGCTATTTTTGTATCATGCCTATTTCACATCTTCTCTTGTACAACTTAGGGACGACAAACTTTGTTTGGAAAAAAAAAGATCCCAAACTAGCCATCTCTGTGTTCAGACTCTTAGGCCAAAGTCATAACTGAATGCCTTTTTGTTTGTCTCACGAATAGAAATGGCCTGATTTCCAGAAATGCTGAATGTCCTCAGTTCTCAATGACCTCAATGGACTCTGAAGAGCACCTCTAACATCTGAAACTCATGCTCGTCTTTTTTTTTTTTTTTTTAAGCCTAAATACAGATTTATAAGCCTAATTATTAGAAATCCAGATTTGAGAATTTGGCCTGGAAAATAGCGCACCTGATTTCTTTATTCATTGATTTCTTCTTCATCATCTTCAAATGCTTCCTCTCCATCATTTGCTGTTGCTTCTTGGTATTGCTGATACTCTGAAACCAGATCATTCATGTTGCTCTCCGCTTCTGTAAATTCCATTTCATCCATTCCTTCTCCTGTGAACCAGTGGAGAAAGGCCTTTCTCCTGAACATGGCCGAAAACTGCTCTGAGATCCTTTTGAAGAGCTCTTGAATAGCAGTACTGTTGCCAATGAACGTGGAAGCCATCTTGAGGCCACGAGGAGGTATGTCGCACACTGCCACCTTGACATTGTTTGGGATCCACTCCACAAAGTAACTGCTGTTCTTGTTCTGGATGGCCAACATCTGCTCATCAACCTCCTTCATGGACATGGGACCACGGAAGACAGTAGCCACTGTCAAGTATCGCCCGTGTCTTGGGTCACAGGCTGCCATCATATTTTTGGCATCAAACATCTGCTGGGTGAGCTCTGGAACAGTGAGTGCTCGGTATTGTTGGCTGCCTCGGGCTGTCAGAGGAGCAAAGCCTGGCATGAAAAAGTGAAGGCGTGGGAAAGGGACCATATTTACTGCCAGCTTCCGGAGGTCAGCGTTTAGTTGGCCTGGAAAACGCAGGGATGTAGTTACCCCACTCATGGTAGCAGAAACCAAGTGGTTTAAATCACCGTATGTTGGAGTGGTGAGCTTCAGGGTGCGGAAGCAAATGTCATACAAAGCTTCGTTGTCAATGCAGTAGGTTTCATCCGTGTTTTCAACCAGTTGGTGGACCGAGAGTGTAGCATTATAAGGCTCCACCACTGTATCAGAAACCTTTGGAGAGGGCATGACACTAAAGGTATTCATTATCCTGTCCGGATATTCCTCTCGTATCTTGCTGATGAGTAGGGTTCCCATGCCAGACCCTGTCCCTCCTCCCAGGGAATGAGTGAGCTGAAATCCTTGCAGGCAGTCGCAGTGTTCACACTC